GGGCCGTTCCGGATGCAAAATTAACACACCAAAAGTGCACCCAGAACGGCCAGTTCCGGTTTCAGAACGGGCCGTTCTGGGTCTAGGTGTTTTCAAAAAATTTCTCATCCACGTGGCATCCACGTATGCATCTACATGGCATCCACGTGGCAAAAAATTAACACCGTTAAAGCAATTTGGACGGAAAGTCCCATATTGAAACTAATTAATTAATCTGGGACTAAATTGAAACCAATTAATTAGTTTGGGACCAAATTGATACCAAAAATTAATGAGGGACTAAATTGAAAAAAAAAAGATTATAAGGGACCAAAATAGGTTTTTAGCCTAATTTTAATAAAGTCTTCATTTTCATAAAGATGACTTGAATTCAAGATTTAGTTTAATTTGTATTTTAGTACGTATATTATATAGGATAGGTGTTTTTATATAATTTAAATACATAATAGATTATTTGTTGAATAAATAAATTATTTTGTGATTAAATTTTATAATAAATAAATATTCAAATATTTAACTTACATTGTATAAAATTAAATAAAAATTTTAATTGGAATATAAAATTATTGCAATTAAAATTATTAATATGGATAAGATAATAATAACTTGTAATATTTGGGGAAAAAAGTTAATTTTACTAATTACAAAGGTATTGTGTGAAATAAACATCTAAAAGAAATGAGAGAGGCTATTTAGAGTATGTACCTTTTTTTACTGAATTTAGAGTATGTACCTAAAAAAATAAAAGTGAAAGACTCCTTCTCCGACGTATGGACTTTAATTTATAATATAAAATCATTTTTAACTAAAAATTATTAGATTTGATATTTGTTTTTTAACTAAAGACCTTGATTTGTGTAATATTTTGCAAAATTAAATATAGTAATTTAATATTATTTATAGATTTAATAACAATTAATAATATTTTAATTAATAATATATTAGCTAATCTTATTTTTTTTTAAAAGTCCTTTAAGGCTCAATAAAGAGTAAGGTGTAGCATTATGCTAATTTTGAATTTAATAAATAATATTATTTTAAATATTTTAAATATAAAGAATAAAATTCGTAATTACTAATTAATAATAAAATAAAATGACTGGAATATAAAATATAAATTATTAAATGAATGGACTCCATGACCTGGTCAAAAGACAGGGGAAAAAAGTGTTTTTAAATCTTAAAATACATATATTGCATTTATTACACAAAGATTAGAAAGAAAGGGAGCAAGATGAGAAAGGAAGGAATAGAAAAAGTAAAATAAAATGAGTAAAGTTTTGCATAATACAAACCATTGGTACTTCAAGGTGAATTCAACCCCTCGCATGTCTTCTCTTTCCCATAATTGTTTAGTTGATGGTATGATTATTTTTTTTGTATGAATTCATGTTATTTTCTAAATTGTAGGATTTATGGGCTAATTAACTGTTGTTTATAATTGTAAAGTTCACTATTTGTTGAATGTATTTAAATTTAGGTTATTTGTGTGCGGAAGAGGAAAGGTTTCCTTTAAGAAGGGATGGCTAACATTTGGCCTTCAAAAAGTGATTGAAAAGATAAATGTTTAAAACATAACATCTCCTTTGACATTGAATGTATATTTGTCTCCTTCGGTCCTCAAATAAAAAATGAATATTATTAATGAATACAGGTAACAGTAGAAGTATTTTCCATACCCATTGACTGTATGTTAACAAGGTAGAAATGAATATTATAATATTTATATGCATAATTATTCATTAATATTAAATTTTTTAATTTATACAGTTTTTTTTTTAAATTATATATGTGTATCAAGGGTTTTATGCAAATTTTTAAGCAGATTTTTATTTATTTATGGAGGCTTTTATAATAATTTTATAACTGCAGATTCTATTTTATTGATACATTTATGCAGATTTTATTTTATGCAGTTTTTTATGCAAAATGTATTTGATGTAAATTTTATGCATATTTTTATACTAATTTTTTAGTAAATACCCACAACTATCAATAAATACTCAGGAATGTTAAAAAAAATTACAAATATTTATGTAACAAATACCTATATAAATATGAGAATATATACAAGACAAATATTTATTTCCATAAGAAACATAATGAGACATACTACTCGTATGTAATTCACTCTACTGACATTTATAGTCTTTTATCTCTAAACCATCTTCTGTATATTTTATCATTTTAATTAGTTGATGAAATATATTTATATCATGTCCTAGGATTAAGATATTTACTGAGACGAAAGTCTTATTAGTTTATTAAATCTTCCATAGTCCATATCATGAAGATTTAGACGTTACCAAATGAGCATTTATTTTTTGCTTATAATTTAGAATGTCTATTTAATACCTATTTTATTTTGGATTTAAAATGTATTGCCCGAGGGATAATTTTTATAATTCTATTTTCAGGTTTCATAGGTGCTAATTTACCCTCTTGAATCGTTATACTGTTTCTTTTAATAAAATAAATATAAAGTACTAATTTTAAATTTGTATGTTTTTGAAAATGTATGCATATACGATAGTACCAGGGTATTACAATTTTTTCTCCAATTTGAGAATCGAATCACTATAAAAGTATTACTTTGCCTTTGGTGATAATAAGTTATATTTTTTTAATTATACATAAATAATAACTTTTTAAATATTTTTAAAAAAGAAAATATAACTTTTTCTTATCGAATTCATTTTATAAAAACAAAATGATACTTTTAATCACAAATTTATTACCAAACTAGATATTGAACTCTAATCCTTGTTTAAGTCCCTTTGTATGATGTATCTACTTTTAAAATTTATAATATGAAAATAATTTTCAACCAAAAGTTTTTAGTACAAGTGTCAATTTGATAGAATCGATACTTGTATTCCTTAACTATATATCATGATTTAATCTCTTATCAGATTATATAATAACTACAGAGCTATTACTTTATCCTTACAATAGAATAATATCGATGTCAAGTATTATAAAAGTAAAATGACACATTTCATCCTAACTTAATGTCTAAATTGAACTTGAACTTTTAATTAAGAAATACAAGTGTTTCATGCTAACAACATTTGATAAATTTAACCTAAATTTAAATATTAATATGATGCACATAATATTTATACTTATATATAAAAATGATTATATGTTTTC